AACAAGTGTAGAAGCTTTCAAGAGGAAACTGGACGAGTATCTTCACCAGGTGCCAGATCAACCAGGCTGTGATGGATATGTGAGGCAGCAGGCCTCCAGTAGCAACAGCCTTGTTGACCAGGCAAGCACTAGACGAGCCTGACCCAAGGCCGGGCTCCGAGAGTAGTTAAAGTCCCGAAACTCTTCAGAGGTATATCAAAGGTAAAGGTGTGTATGTCTGAGTCACTGTGGTGTGTCAATAACCTCTCCGTGGACATCATTTCTCCTTCCATGTGACACATGTTTGCTCTTAAGCACCGTGGTAATTCCCCCTGTGTCCTCTTCTCTACCCTCCTCTTAGCTCTCTTTCAGTGTATCATCTCCCTGTAGGTTTTCTCAGCGGAACATAATACAGACTGTATGTCTCTGTATTCAGCTTTTCCATGGACTCGTGTCTGATCATTCTTTGCTTATGTTGTCTCAGTTAATTCTCTGAATGCTAGAGTTGACTTGACTGACGATCAGTTCACGCTGGTTCTTTCCTAGTTTCTTTAGACATGATATGCTTGTTCGTATTTCAGCGACTTTGTGGTTGGAGGATATTTTATTTCAGGTTGTTATATCTCTGATTACTTCCTCGCTGATCGTGAGGATCAAGTTGCAAATATTGTTGGTTGGAAGCAAACTTTTCACAGAGCCCCAGCAGGTGTTTAACATGTGCCAGGTAGGACTCACACGTATTTCTAGTTACTATTACTGTACTTTACCGTCTTCTACATAACATTCAGGAATTGCAAGGAGTTTCAGGGATTTCAGTATAGATATCTGTTTTCCTTATCTGTTCCATGAACAGATAAATAGCAGATAAGAGATATACGTATATATGAGGCGGAGTATATATGAGGCGGAGTATATACGAGGATAACTATCAGTCCTGATCTTCAAGTTAATGTTTATTATCGTTGTTAAGATATTTGATAATATTTAACCTTAACATGACTTTCTAAGAAGATGGGTACTGGGTGACTGACAACCATCCACAAGATGGGTACTGGGTGACTGACAACCATCCACAAGATGGGTACTGGGTGACTGACAACCATCCACAAGATGGGTACTGGGTGACTGACAACCATCCACAAGATGGGTACTGGGTGATGACAACCATCCACAAGATGGGTACTGGGTGACTGACAACCATCCACAAGATGGGTACTGGGTGACTGACAACCATCCACAAGATGGGTACTGGGTGATGACAACCATCCACAAGATGGGTACTGGGTGACTGACAACCATCCACAAGATGGGTACTGGGTGACTGACAACCATCCACAAGATGGGTACTGGTGACTGACAACCATCCACAAGATGGGTACTGGGTGACTGACAACCATCCACAAGATGGGTACTGGGTGACTGACAACCATCCACAAGATGGGTACTGGGTGACTGACAACCATCCACAAGATGGGTACTGGGTGACTGACAACCATCCACAAGATGGGTACTGGGTGATTGACAACCATCCACAAGATGGGTACTGGGTGACTGACAACCATCCACAAGATGGGTACTGGGTGACTGACAACCATCCACAAGATGGGTACTGGGTGACTGACAACCATCCACAAGATGGGTACTGGGTGACTGACAACCATCCACAAGATGGGTACTGGAGTGACTGACAACCATCCACAAGATGGGTACTGGGTGACTGACAACCATCCACAAGATGGGTACTGGGTGATGACAACCATCCACAAGATGGGTACTGGGTGACTGACAACCATCCACAAGATGGGTACTGGGTGACTGACAACCATCCACAAGATGGGTACTGGGTGACTGACAACCATCCACAAGATGGGTACTGGATGACTGACAACCATCCACAAGATGGGTACTGGGTGACTGACAACCATCCACAAGATGGGTACTGGGTGATTGACAACCATCCACAAGATGGGTACTGGGTGACTGACAACCATCCACAAGATGGGTACTGGGTGACTGACAACCATCCACAAGATGGGTACTGGGTGACTGACAACCATCCACAAGATGGGTACTGGGTGACTGACAACCATCCACAAGATGGGTACTGGGTGACTGACAACCATCCACAAGATGGGTACTGGGTGACTGACAACCATCCACAAGATGGGTACTGGGTGACTGACAACCATCCACAAGATGGGTACTGGGTGACTGACAACCATCCACAAGATGGGTACTGGGTGACTGACAACCATCCACAAGATGGGTACTGGGTGACTGACAACCATCCACAAGATGGGTACTGGGTGACTGACAACCATCCACAAGATGGGTACTGGGTGACTGACAACCATCCACAAGATGGGTACTGGGTGACTGACAACCATCCACAAGATGGGTACTGGGTGACTGACAACCATCCACAAGATGGGTACTGGTGTGACATACACAAAACCAAACCACAAAGATGGGTACTGGTGACTGACAACATCCACAAGATGGGTACTGGTGACTGACAACCATCCACAAGATGGGTACTGGGTGACTGACAACCATCCACAAGATGGGTACTGGGTGACTGACAACCATCCACAAGATGGGTACTGGGTGACTGACAACCATCCACAAGATGGGTACTGGGTGACTGACAACCATCCACAAGATGGGTACTGGGTGACTGACAACCATCCACAAGATGGGTACTGGGTGACTGACAACCATCCACAAGATGGGTACTGGGTGACTGACAACCATCCACAAGATGGGTACTGGGTGACTGACAACCATCCACAAGATGGGTACTGGGTGACTGACAACCATCCACAAGATGGGTACTGGGTGACTGACAACCATCCACAAGATGGGTACTGGGTGACTGACAACCATCCACAAGATGGGTACTGGGTGACTGACAACCATCCACAAGATGGGTACTGGGTGACTGACAACCATCCACAAGATGGGTACTGGGTGACTGACAACCATCCACAAGATGGGTACTGGGTGACTGACAACCATCCACAAATGGGTACTGGGTGACTGACAACCATCCACAAGATGGGTACTGGGTGACTGACAACCATCCACAAGATGGGTACTGGGTGACTGACAACCATCCACAAGATGGGTACTGGGTGACTGACAACCATCCACAAGATGGGTACTGGGTGACTGACAACCATCCACAAGATGGGTACTGGTGACTGACAACCATCCACAAGATGGGTACTGGGGACTGACAACCATCCACAAGATGGGTACTGGGAGACAACCATCCACAAGATGGGTACTGGGACGACAACCATCCACAAGATGGGTACTGGGGATGACAACCATCCACAAGATGGGTACTGGGAGACAACCATCCACAAGATGGGTACTGGGGACACACCATCCACAAGATGGGTACTGGGTGATGACAACCATCCACAAGATGGGTACTGGGTGACGAACCATCCACAAGATGGGTACTGGTGATGACAACCATCCACAAGATGGGTACTGGGTGATGACAACCATCCACAAGATGGGTACTGGGTGACTGAAACCATCCACGATGTATGTGACTGACAACCTCCACAAGATGGACTGGATGCACTGACAACGCTCCACATAATGGGACTGAGTGAATGACAACCATCCACAGATGGGTACTGGGTACTGACAACCATCCCAAGATGGGTTCTGTGGTGTCTGACAACATCCACAAATGTACTTGACTGAACATCAAAATTATTATCCCCCCGTTTACTTCCTACAACCATTCCACAATTGTTACTGTACTTGCACCATCACCAAGATGCTCTACATGGTGATCTGACAACCATCCCAAGATGGTTACTGCGCTTGACTGACAACCATCCACAAGATGGGTACTGGGTGACTGACAACCATCCACAAGATGGGTACTGGGTGACTGACAACCATCCACAAGATGGGTACTGGGTGACTGACAACCATCCACAAGATGGGTACTGGGTGACTGACAACCATCCACAAGATGGGTACTGGTGATTGACAACCATCCACAAGATGGGTACTGGGTGACTGACAACCATCCACAAGATGGGTACTGGGTGACTGACAACCATCCACAAAATGGGTACTGGATGACTGACAACCATCCACAAGATGGGTACTGGGTGACTGACAACCATCCACAAGGTGGGTACTGGGTGACTGACGACCATCCACAAGATGGGTACTGGGTGACTGACAACCATCCACAAGATGGGTACTGGATGACTGACGACTATCCACAAGATGGGTACTGGATGACTGACAACCATCCACAAGATGGGTACTGGGAGACAACCATCTACAAGATGGGTACTGGGAGACAACCATCCACAAGATGGGTACTGGGAGACAACCATCCACAAGATGGGTACTGGGGGACAACCATCCACAAGATGGGTATTGGGAGACAACCATCCACAAGATGGGTTACTGGGAGTCAACCATCCACAAGATGGGTACTGGGAGACAACCATCCACAAGATGGGTACTGGGAGACAACCATCCACAAGATGGGTACTGGGAGACAACCATCCACAAGATGGGTACTGGGAGACAACCATCCACAAGATGGGTACTGGGTATATAATAAAGATATCACACTTATTACTGGCCGTGCCCAGGAAGTGCACACAGTGCACGCCGCCCCATAACACGCACACTGATGCAAGAACAATCATTAGCAGGCGGAGGATCGAGCCACACTCTGCTCTCACCCATGCGGGTTTTGTGCTTCATGAAATACAAAATAAAATGCAACAGAAGAGAAAATTATATATCTCCCCCGTCTCTTCTTCCTCTTCTACCCACTCTCCATTCTCCTATTTTTCCCTTCTTACTTCTCCTCTACTACCACCACTCCTCCTCCTCCACTTCTTCCTCCTTCTCTTCTTCCTCCTCCTTCTCTTCTTCCTCCTCCTCCTCCTCTTCCTCTTCCTCCTCCTCGTCTTCCATCATCATTGTGGTGTTGGTATCATTACAATATATGGTCGCAGAGGACCTACCTGGCAGGAGCAGGAGATGCAGGGGTTGTCTCTCTCTACCTCTGGTGGCACCTCTATGGCCTCTCCCTCCTGATGGCACCTCATGGCAACACCTGAACAAGGAACAGAAGGAGCGTTAGTTACCTGTGTAACACCTGAACAAGGAACACAAGGAGCGTTAGTTACCTGTGTAACACCTGAACAAGGAACACAAGGAGAGTTAGTTACCTGTGTAACACCTGAACAAGGAACACAAGGAGAGTTAGTTACCTGTGTAACACCTGAATAAGGAACACAAGGAGCGTTAGTTACCTGTGTAACACCTGAACAAGGAACACAAGGAGAGTTAGTTACCTGTGTAACACCTGAATAAGGAACACAAGGAGAGTTAGTTACCTGTGTAACACCTGAACAAGGAACACAAGGAGAGTTAGTTACCTGTGTAACACCTGAATAAGGAACACAAGGAGCGTTAGTTACCTGTGTAACACCTGAATAAGGAACACAAGGAGCGTTAGTTACCTGTGTAACACCTGAATAAGGAACACAAGGAGAGTTAGTTACCTGTGTAACACCTGAATAAGGAACGCAAGGAGAGTTAGTTACCTGTGTAACACCTGACTAAGGAACACAAGGAGAGTTAGTTACCTGTGTAACACCTGAATAAGGAACACACGAGGATTTTTTTTTTCAAATTTACAAGTTTAACTCGATCGGATGAGGCGTTATCGGGTTATGAACATAAAAACGACAAGTTGAATGAAGAAAAAAGAGAACACTCAGGTATCCCAGAGATCCTGCTTCAGGGATACCTAACTACGACTAGTTGCAATGAAATAGTCTGATAGTGGAGAATGCAATCATATAACTTATATATCTGACATCATATATCTGACATCAGAAGTAATCCCATAAACCCAAGTGTTGCACAGACTCCTGTTACATCCCCAAGTGTTGTACAGACCCCTGGTAGATCCCCAAGTGTTGCAGAGACTCCTGTTATATCCCCAAGTGTTGCACAGACTCCTGTTATATCCCCAAGTGTTGTACAGACTCCTGTTATATCCCCAAGTGTTGCACAGACTCCTGTTATATCCCCAAGTGTTGTACAGACCCCTGGTAGATCCCCAAGTGTTGCACAGACTCCTGTTATATCCCCAAGTGTTGCACAGACTCCTGTTATATCCCCAAGTGTTGTACAGACTCCTGTTATATCCCCAAGTGTTGCACAGACTCCTGTTATATCCCCAAGTGTTGTACAGACTCCTGTTAGATCCCCAAGTGTTGTACAGACTCCTGTTAGATCCCCAAGTGTTGTACAGACTCCTGTTACATCCCCAAGTGTTACACAGATTCCTGTTACATCCCCAAGTGTTGCACAGACTCCTGTTAGATCTCCAAGTGTTGCACAGACTCCTGTTACATCCCCAAGTGTTGCACAGACTTCTGTTACATCTCCAAGTGTTACACAGATTCCTGTTACATCCCCAAGTGTTGCACAGACTCCTGTTAGATCTCCAAGTGTTGCACAGACTCCTGTTACATCCCCAAGTGTTACACAGATTCCTGTTACATCCCCAAGTGTTGCACAGACTCCTGTTACATCCCCAAGTGTTGCACAGACTCATGTTAGATCCCCAAGCGTTGCACAGACTCCTGTTAGATCCCCAAGTGTTGCACAGGCACCTGTTACATCCCCAAGTGTTGCACAGACTCCTGTTACATCCCCAAGTGTTGCACAGACTCCTGTTATATCCCCAAGTGTTGCACAGACTCCTGTTACATCCCCAAGTGTTACACAGGCTCCTGTTAGATCCCAAGTGTTGCACAGACTCCTGTTAGATCCCCAAGTATTACACAGACTCCTGTTAGATCCCCAAGTGTTACACAGACTCCTGTTAGATCCCCAAGTATTACACAGACTCCTGTTAGATCCCCAAGTGTTACACAGACTCCTGTTAGATCCCCAAGTGTTACACAGACTCCTCTTAGATCCCCAAGTGTTACACAGACTCCTCTTAGATCCCCAAGTGTTGCACCTGGGCCGGACTCTAGGAGTCCCTTGTTCATTAAGAAGTGCAAAATATCGCTGGTTGTGGCACCCAGTATTCCCTAGAGACACAGCTCAGAAGGAGGCGAGATAACAGGAAACTGAAAAATGCAGAAATAGTTCCTTTTGACAGAGAAGACAGCAGAGAGCTGGCAATAAATTACAAGCAAGGAGCACTAGTATCACACAAAGTAAATCGGGGAACGGGTGGGGCTTGAAACTAAGTCAGGGGAATTTTAGTACCCATTTGCCATGGGACTGGTTACTTCAATCTCCTCCTCACGTTCCACCGTTCTTCTCTGCATTGGACTGAGGAAGTCTCTGGCTGACTAAACGGTTTCTCACAAAAAAAAAAAGATACCCAAATGTTGGACAAGTGTCACATTCTTCAGATATAAGGATTCTTGAGAATGCGTCAGCAAAGAACACAGGTCGCCTCCTGACAGTGACAGCTCCTCGTGTAGGGGATTTCCTGTTGTCTTGTCCTAATTCCTTTCCAGACACACACAACGATCCACAAACCATCCACACTAACATTGCGCGTCGCCTTGCTACCCTATCTTGGCCAAACACAGGTGCCCAGTGCGGGCACCGTAGCTTAGTTTACCCTTGATTATTATTATTATTATTATTATTATTATTATTATTATCATAGGGGAGCGCTAAACCCATACGATTATGCAGCGCATGAAGGGGGAGGGAGATGGAAGGCATTCAAGCTCAATTCAGGGAGAGATCAAGAGCCCCTCACTAGCATCAAGGAACCTTCCTTGAGGGGCGTGCCTGGGACAGATGGCAAGAAACTGGTGTGGGACGACACACGTGCATCAACACGGACTGACATCAATCTCTGATACAGCAGGAAGGAAGGAAGGAGGAGGCGGCTGCCACCTTCAGGGAGTCACACAAGAAAATACACTAAATTCCTGTAGTACATACATAACACACAAATAACCTGCACATAAGAGAAATACATTTTATGACGACGTTTTGGTCCCACATATGTCGACAACACTGCGACTACCCGAGGACTCGAACACATGTCGCTTTGGCGTCGTGTGATTTGCGCTCACCATGAGGCGGGCCAAAATGACATGGGTTCGAATCCTCGCCTAGTCGCAGTGTTGTTATAGAATATATATATATATATATATATATATATATTATATATATATATATATATATATATATATATTATATATATGTCGTGCCGAATAGGTAAAACTTGCGATTTTGGCTTAAATAGCAACGCTCTTCTTGCTAAATTAGGCAAGCGAAAATTTATGTGTGCAATAATTTCGCAAAAATCATTCCGAACATAACGAAAAAAATATATTTCATTGTGTTTGTTTATTAAATGATTGTAAACTCATCTAAAATATATTTAGCTGGATTAGGCTAAATTAAATTGCGCTTGTTATAATAAGGTTGGGTAAGTTTTCTAAGGTTCTTCTGGTACAAAATTCTTAATTTTTACATTAACATAATTGAAAAAATATACCTGTAAGCGTATAAGAGAAAATTATAGAAAGAACTTATTTAAATGAGTTTTTTTCTAACTGACTAATTGTACTTATTTGGCAGCACAAGCGGCGTCTATATTCAATTCAGTTCAAGTTTATTCTCTACAAGGGTTACAATACGGGGTTTACAGGTTTTGGGTATTGTGTGGTTTACATGTTATAAAATACTAATTACAGAGGGGCCATTAGGACACCTAGCATGGCTAGGCATTTCACATATAAGTACAGATCTCCAGAGAATAATAGATGGTGTTCCCTCCAGAATTCAGTCTGCTTCTGGTTTTTTGTAACAAGTGGAGAGTATTCTCATTCAGTTATCTTTTAAAATTATGAAAAATGTTAATAGTACTTAAGGATTGCAACTGATAGTATACTAACTAACGAAATAAATATTCAGAAGTTTATTAAAAAAGTTGTCTAGGTTGACAAAATCAAAGTGAACTAATTTGATATAATTTAGGATATAAGCTGCTACACTTCTCTTGTAGTAGTATAGTGGTGATGGCACATTTTTCATATCAATACGACTCTAAGTACCGTCTGGTGCTGTACCATCACTTATAAAAATACTAATATATAGAGGTGTGTGTGTGTGAATGTGTGTATGTGCTCAAAGTTGTTCGTTATGTCTCAATAAAACTCGACTAGAATTAAACAGTGACTGACTAAACGTCGTCAAATCTATCTTCTTGACCAATAAGGTAATCAAAACAGCTTGCTTGAACAATAAGACGAACGATTCGCCGAGCAACAATAATATAACAAGCAGCAGCACAGCTTCAGGAACAAGGAGGCAAAATAACGACCCTAACTGGGGACCATCAGGAGATCCAGCAAAACCAAATCCCCGACTACGATGGTACAGAGATGCTACACAAATAGGTCAGAAGCTTATGCTTGGGACTTAGATTAACTTAGAGTCAGTACGACACACAACTTCAGTAAAATGTCATAAATAACTAAGTCTGAACTATGCTCTGTAAAGACAGTTACACAGAGTTACAAAAAGTATATTCCAACACACCACCGAAATCATACTCTACCAAAACAGTCTAAATAACGAACAAACAGCCAGAGATACGAGAGACGGAGAGAGAGTTACTGGTCGAACAAGGACCAGCAGAGAGAGAACGATTTCTGGACTACAGTCTGCACATCAGGTGTGATCACGTGACTCCTGTGTTACCCAGTTACTGACACAAACAAGCGACCGATAGTTAGTAAGGTAGTTTGCCTATGCGGACAGCCAACCACAACTCTCAGACAGTGAGCACAGTGAAGTGTAAATGTTACGTCTTACCTAATGACAAGATATTTTTATTTTAGCTAATAATGAAAATATCAGCAATATTAAATTATATGAATAGGTAATATACATGAAATGTATATTATATATAAGACATGGGGAGTGGAAGTCTTTAGTTCAAGTACTTTCACACTTTTCAGGACGTCATCAGGAGCTGTGCAAAGTTGCAAATGTAGCAACAGGAAAAATGAGCGTAAGTTTTCTCAGAGTATGGCACCGTGAGTGGCTCCCGCCAGCACATTCTGAGGCGCTGGCGGGTGCCACTCACGTTGCCATACTCTGAGAAAACTTTCCCTCTGCAACTTTGCACAGCTCCTGATGACGCACTGAGAAATATGAGAGTACTTGAGCTAAGGAAAGCAGGAAGCAAGAAGCGGAGATAGTAGAAGCA